TTTAAAGTAATTTTTAACGATCCAAAATGAACATGATTGTCACTTATAAGGGGTTGAAACAATGTGACAACTGATTCTTGATACGTATATGAAGTGTGTAATTGTGGCATACCAATTAATGACAATCACTTATACTACGTATGATTCTTAAAATAAGCGTCACGTAACTTATTATATCAAGATGTTGTAAACACCATATTAATGACAATAGCTAATTGTAATTGCAGGAAGCTGTGAATGTCTCACTTGGGAACCTGTTGACATACCCATTTGTGAGGGAAGCAGTGGTGAAGAAAACTCTAGCTCTGAAGGGTGCACACTATGATTTTGTCAACGGTCGTTTTGAAATTTGGAACCTTGACTTTTCTCTTTCACCTTCTACCATAGTATAAAAAAAATTAAACGTACCAAATCAAAATGTTACCACTATTTACTTTTCTTCCTGTTTTTTCAAGGTGTTCCTTGTTATGTATTATGTGTATTGTGTAATTTATGCAAATATGCATACAAATGCAGCAATAATAAACATATTCTATCCTCACTTTTTTTTCCCCATCTAAAATTCTTCTTGTATCTTTGTATTCTCAAATTAGTATGAAATACATATCTTTATTTCTATCTATTACGGAGTACCACTTTATAGGTGATATTGTATTATATTATAGTGTCGTGATGATTCATAAAAGGATATTAAGTGTTTAAAAATGAACAACCATTGTCATGGTAATGACCATAGAATATCCTCACAATCACATACAAGTTTATTACTAAACCCATGATTTATGATCGCTTACACGGTTATGGAAAATTTGTACAAACTTCAGATTTGGTTGGTAGGCTGAATATGCAGCCCATTACTTATTAGCTTTACAGGCCTTGCCTTAATCAATTTTGAACCACTGAGCCCAATGTCGATTATTTACTTCGTATTTCACTGAGTACTCGTTTCACACCCTTGACACTCTGATATGAATATGAAAATTTAAGCACTTTTATTTGCGCTAAAATCATGGGAATTCATACAAGATAGCAGAGTCAGACACTTAAACACGTATTCATATTTGACAAGGATACCTAAATCCAAGGTATATAGATCCAAGCCTATACGAATAGGCTCGGAACAACCCGGACCACCATCCATAGATTCAATTATCTGCCATACAAGTGTCACTTGTATAGCCAAATACAAAAACATGCACAAATCCAGAATTTCATCATCAAATATATAAATCTTGTATGACCGTAAATATAGACAACAACAATACCACCCATTACTTTACACTGTCTACTGAAATTTTATCAATCAGAAAAATGGAAGCAATTCTTACCACCAAAATTCCTCTATCATTCTCTTCTTCCTCCTCTACCTCATCAAACACACCTTCACTTTCTCTCTCCTCACTCTCAAGCCTTTCCAAAACCACCAAAAAATTGAGTAACACCCTTATTTTTAAGGGTACCCAACATTGTAATTACCCTTCTTCCCTTAAAATTTGTGCAATGTCACAAACTGCCCCTGCTTCTGTAGAACCCTCAACCATTCCTACTGAGATGAAAGCTTGGATTTATGAGGATTATGGCGGTGTTGATGTCCTTAATTTTGGATCTAATGTTAAAGTTCCTGAATTACAGGATGATCAAGTTTTAATTAAGGTTGCTGCTGCTGCTTTAAATCCTGTTGATTTTAAGAGAAGGCTTGGCAAGTTTAAGGCCTCTGATTCACCTCTTCCTGTAAGCCTATTTTCTTTCCTTAGCTCTGTTGTATTGTTGTTATTGTTGTTTGTAATTCCTCAATTCGGGTTTATTTAATTTATTGTCGCGTTGCTAGTTTAAATTACATTATCAATGTGACTTGTAACTTACCTATATTATTGCTAGTTGTATATTGCCTTGTACTACCTAAAATATTGAATGTTGAGACTTACCTAGTAATGGGATTTATACTAGATTTTTGTTGTTAGCTACTTGTGATATTTACATAGTTATAGTCACTAGTTATTAGTAATGTGTTTCTCTTCCGAGGTTTTAAATTAAATTGGAACGATACAAAGAAGATTAACATGACACAAGTGCAAGGAAATCGAGGGATGATGCTCTGGTGAAGTAGTAAATGTCTTATTGTGGCTTTACATGAGTGTACCACTTCTTGGTTGTTACTTTGTAAACTTTTAAGCCATTGAATGCATTATCAATAACAAATAACCTACTTATCTATTAGCATGATTTGCTGATAAAATTTGAACAAGTGTTAAATGTTCTTAGGTTTTAGGACATAGAACTATTAATTATAAAAGTAGCAAACTTAAAAAAAATTAGGTGCATAGTCTTGCAAAGCTAATATCTGGTTGATTTGGTCATAAACTTATACTGACTAATTACATTGCTTTTACCGAGGTGATATTAACTCTAGCAAGTTTAACTGTTGACACAAGATTATACATGGAAGTTGCACATATTGATAGCTACATAGAACTGGTTTGATCATTTTCAAACATTTCGAAATTGTCAAAGAAACTTATGCAATGAGTCAGTTTATATGGATTGAACAACAATTCTTTTAACTGTATAACAAGTCTCTGTTCTGTTATCATTGTATCTGTATTTGTGTGACATATACTCAATTCAAGAAGCGCAAAGGCTCACTCTACGCAGTGTATGCCATGTAGTCATACAGTTAGGCAATGTTATCAAGCTCACATGTGTACATACTTGTGAGAAATATATTGATTCAATTCACGATTCCTAAGGAAATATAGCAGTCGTAGATGGTAATATAAGCTGGAACCCTATGATTTGATGGTGATGAAATGCTAAGTACTAAAACACTTAATGTAATCGATGTGTAGCAATCGAGATTACTCTATACATTAAATGTCATGCTTGGATTTAGCAACTAAAAAAGAATGGAAATTTTAGTTCAGACTGTCCCAGGCTATGATGTTGCTGGCGTGGTAGTAAAAGTTGGTAGTCAAGTGAAAGAATTCAAGGTAGGGGATGAAGTTTACGGAGACATCAGTGAGAAAGCACTTGATGGTCCCAAGCAATTTGGGTCATTGGCAGAATATACAGCCGTGGAGGAAAAATTATTGGCTTTAAAGCCTAAAAATATCGACTTTGTACAAGCTGCTGGTCTCCCGTTAGCTGTAGAGACAGCCTATGAAGGTCTCGAAAGGGCTGGGATGTCTCCTGGAAAATCGGTTCTTGTTCTAGGTGGGGCAGGTGGTGTTGGATCTCTTGTAATCCAGGTATGTTACATCTATTACTCCGAGAATATACCCTAATGTCTAGTGTAGAATCTGTGTTGGATAAAGAGATGATTTGATATTTCCTTTTTGGATTGATTTTGGGGCAGCTTGCGAAGCAAGTATTTGGTGCCTCTAAAGTTGCAGCCACTGCTAGTACCGGGAAAATCGAATTTTTGAAGAGTCTTGGTGTTGATCTTGCTATTGATTACACCAAGGAGAAGTTTGAGGACCTTCCAGAAAAGTTTGATGTTGTGTATGACGCAGTTGGTAAGTTTATGCTTTAATTAGAACCTCTGTTATCTCTGCTGATAAAATTTTTGACAGGAAATTATCAGTTATGACGCCCTTAAATTAGCAACATTTAGGATTAGTTTAACTATTACAGTATAAAGTTATCATCTCTGAGAAGAGTTGATGAATTCCCACCGAGGATCTTGTAAATAAGTTCCCTCGCAACAAAAGTATATCATCATCTACTTAAGCGCTGATATTTAATGCCAAAATCAGTCTTAATCAGCAACAGCATGTAGCCAAAAAAAAAATGCTAAAATAGTTCAAATCAATTTTGATTGGTAAAAACTGAGTTTGAAAATTAAAAAGGGAAGAAAAAGGAAATCAGTTCAGTAATTTTCAGGTATAAAGGACCTTATTCAAGGCCTGAATAATTGCAGTTAAGAATGATGCAGATTCTGCTTCTTCGTTTAAAAACATCCATAGTTAAATGCTTTGAAACATTTCTCCATTAAAAAGGCTTCTTGTATTGGGGTTTTTTGTGATATCAGCTCTTATAGCTTTTAGTATAGTAAAATTATATCCATCCAAACTGTACCAGTTTCCAAAGTAATGCAAAATAATGAACATCTTTTGCATCACTAGTCAGTTTTGTAATTCCTTGAAATAGCCTTTCCCACTCATTAATTTTGTTTCAACTTTCATGAACAACAGGGGAAGGCGAGAGGAATGTAAAAGCAGTGAAAGAAGGGGGAAGTGTGGTGGTCTTAACTGGTGCTGTTACACCACCAGGGTTCAGATTCGTGGTGACATCCAATGGAGAAGTACTGAAGAAGCTAAATCCATACCTCGAGAGTGGGAAGGTGAAGCCAATAGTTGATCCTAAGGGCCCCTTCACATTTGACAAGGTTGTTGAAGCCTTCACTTACCTTGAAACTAATCGCGCTACTGGAAAAGTAGTCATCCATCCCATTACCTGAGTTCAAAGTTTCAAGTTCTAACAGTATGATCTGTATCTAGATTCAGTAGTGCTCAGGTGGATCTTGTTGAAATTTGTGATCAGGGAAACATGTTACTATAACTATGAGGAATGAGTGTCAATCTCATCTTGGGGTTCGGTTTGGTCATATTCATATGCGAATTCTTGGTGTTTAAAATTTGTTGCTTCATCTTTGCCTTCAGCTCTTTCCAATTAATGTTCTTGGGTGTGTACAGTTATTCAGATGGTATACTTCAAGAAGAGAGGGGGGAAGGGTGAATTGTAGTATGTTCTCTAGCGCCTACTTTTCGCAAAATATAAAACTGAAAACTTAAACAAACCTAAAAGGTGCATAGTAGATTTTACGAGGCCCAACCAGAAGTAAAGCATACTGTTACTTAAGAGATGTAAATGTATAGTACATTCAAGTTAGACTACAAAGCCAAAAAATGTGCATACATGAAAAGGCAATCAAAGTTCATTCTATACAAAATAAACGATGAGATCAAATTACCTGAGGATCAAAAACTCAAATGGCTTGCCTTCTATTCCTCATCCTCGTCCGTGTCATGCCACATGACAGGTCCTTCCCAATCAATTTGAGAAACAACTGATCCATTTCCAGATCCATCAACAGATGCAGTGATATAAGCACCATAAAATTCAATTTTACAAGTTAAAGAGCTCCTTGGAAGCCTGAACAATCTCCTACAGAACATATATTTGGTCCAAAGTTTATAACTTCCGCCCTTGTCATAGTCATCATAGTTGGCATCACTAGAAATGTAAAGCGTTTCCAAAACATTTGCATTACTTAGAATATATTTTACCAACTTGATATCATTGTCTTCCCCTATAAGTTTAACCTCTGATATATCTATTTTCTTGAGCCTACTTAACAAATGGGTAGATATTGGAGCATCCCAAATCACATGTTCCTCAGAAACAATCAAGCTAAGATGCGTGAGATTATGAAAGTCGAACCATACATTCGCATCTATAGCATTAAGGCTATTGAATAGAGCAAGATTATCCACTAAATGAATGGACTTAACACTCGAAATCCCACGAAGAAACTCCGGTAGAAGAGTAAGATCAGTTCCATCCTCAAAAATCTGAGTCCAAAACCCAATAGTTGCCTTTTGTAACACTCTTGGTTTACTAACAAAACTATATAATGCAACGCAACGGTTAATCTCAATGTCCTCCAACAATGGTGCATCAATCACAAATTTGCTAGCACGCGATGATCCATTCATTAGGATAGTCAATGACTTGAGATTGTGAGCTGATATCTCTATTGTTTCATCCTCCATCAATTCAAATGCAACTAACAAACTCTCTAACAACGGGCAAGACTTAAACAATGTTTTCAAAACCCGAGGATCGAAACGAAGGCGCATAACAATCTTGTTCAAATTAGAGAGGTTAATATCACCAATTGGCAATTTACAGTAAAGATTTCCCAATAATTCAAGCTGTACAAGTGATTGGGTTTCAAAAATAATAGGCGGTAAAGTAATAAAATGGCCAGTAAATCCAAAGTCGAAGCATACCTTGAAGTTTACTGGATTTCGGGCGCAAATAAGAGGGACCCATGAATCCAGAAGAGTGGAGCAAAGAAGAAACTCATTGTTGGTTAAAGGAGAATGACGGAAGGAAAGATTGAAGGTGTGAATATGAGGGGAGGTGAGTTGGTTGAGAATGTGGTTGGTGTTGGTGAAAAAGTGGGGGAATTTGAAGTATGGGGGGCGGCAACCGTCGAAGAAGAGGTGGGTGCGGTGGGTCCAAAGGCGGAGCCAACGGCGGGATAAGGTGGAAGCGGCGGCGGCGGAGTTGAGGGGGAGGAGAGAGAGGATTTCAAACAAAAGGGTGTCTGGGAGTGAGCTTAATCTGTCTATTTCTGAAGGATTATGGTTCAATTTTGATCTCTGTTTTTTGGGGGAATTGGAATTTGAGAGAGTTTCTGCCATTTTTGTGGGGATGATGCTTTTGGTTTAGGTTTTGGGTTTAATTAGAGGAGACTTCATTCATGGAGTTAAATGGTTGTAGACTTGTAGGGGAGGTCCTAGAATGCACACATCTACGAAGTATTAAGTATTCCTAAAATAATATGTCATTCTAACATTAAAAATAAATTAAATAATCTATTCATTTTCTATGAAGAATGTCATCTTTATTTTATTTTATTTTATTTTATTTTAAACCTATACTATACATTTTTCTAATAAAAAAAATTACCATTTTTTTTTACACAAATGATAAAACTTTATTTTATGCATAATAATTAAAATTAATAAAAAGATGCAACGCACGAGTCTAATCTAGTAAATTTACATTTCGTGATTCATTCAAATTTCAAATTTTAGTGACCCTAACCTACTTACCAGAAGGGGTGTGTATAAATAGACCTGGATTGAAATCGGATTATAATAAGTCGAAACGGGTAGGACTGGAATTTTGTATGATCTAATATAAGTATGAAACTTGGGGCTATGTTTCACTCTTGGAACCGCAAGTTAAGTTTCTATTAGTATTTGATGTCATAATTTAACAGCTACCAACCAACATTGACACTTTTGTTAGAAAGCAGATCGTGTTCCTATTAGGGAACACCTCTTGTTATGATCCGTCTCTCATGGGAAGACCGAGTTTTTAGGGTTTTTTTTTTTTTTTTTTTTTTTTTTTTTTTTTTTTGGTGTGAAAGAGAGGCAATGCCTCGAGAAAGAAAACACAAAAATAACAAAACTAAGACGGAACAAGCCGTGGCAAACCCACCCCTACAACATCATCAGTTTTTTACGAATGTTAGCAATCTACGAGGAGTTTGTTGTTGATTCATTTTGCATTTGATCATAAAAAAGGAATATATGTTAGTTAGCACATAGAATTTCATAACAATTGGTTTGAATTATGCAAAAGTTCCATGTGCTCGAATCAAAAATATGAATTCTATGTATAAGGAGAGAGTTAATCAACATAGAAATCCTAAAATTTTTGGCAATTTAAATCAGACTAGATCAATTGTTCTTAATCTCATTCGTTTATTGTCATATATTATTAATTTCGTATTTAATACATATTGAGGCAAATCTAATAAGATTTCGTTTGATAATATTTTATCCTATATGATGGACAATAAAGACGAAAGTTTAGTCAAGTCAAGCAATCAAATAGACTAAACCAGAAATATTTAGATATGAACATCTTATTTAAGATAAAGAGAACAAAGCCGTGGTAAAGATCATGACACAAAGGACAATGACAAGTTGATTATCCTCTTCCATGGTAGGTTAACATCCATGATCGACTTGCATAATTGCATTCGTGGTTGATAAAAAGCTTTAGCTTTATTTGAAGTCGTGTTAGATACTTGAACAAATCTTTGTGTATGAATTTTAATTTGACATCCATTGTGTAACTTAGATTTACCATGCGCATGAGGTTAATTAATTTTGTTGAATATTACAGGGTTTAGGAAAATTACACTTGCAATTAATATAATATTTAGGTATAGGATGAATAAGCAAGCAAAATAATGCTAACATATAAACTATTTATAACTCAATACAAGGTGGTTGTTGTTTAGAGAGCCACAAGGGCGAGGGTGAGAATCGATCTCAGGATCTCCTGGAATCGAGAAGGAATCCCTAGCCACTAGACCTATCCCTCACTCTCTCAATACAATGTTTGTCGATAGCCCCATAATTGATAGATTAAATATTCATAGAGATTCACTCCCTATTTAAACATTATGGAAATTAAAATATTTGTCACATTGGAAATTAAACTAAAAAAAATCATGCATGCATGGAGTACTTGATTGCATAGCTATAAAGTGATTAAAGTCTATTGTGTTTCATCCAATTCACCGCCCTTTGGGCTAATCCAGATCCGGGATTAATTCTGAATGGTTACGTTCCAATCCCCTCTCAATTGTTGTAGCAGGGGATCGCACACGAGTCTCCCTACCAAGTTTAGTCCCAATCACCACTACACCAACAATCAATTGGTAGATAATCTTGATTATTCCTTTTGTTCTCACTACTACAAAATGAGTAAAATTTCGACGCTTAAGCCTTGACGCCGAGGCAACAGCGCAAGTGGGTAAATATCATATGCGTGTTTTCTCGACGCTTTTGTGGGTTCGGCATTAATTTTTGACGTGAAAAAGCGTCGAGAATGTTAGCATGTGCCACGCACAAGATTGTAATTAGCTCAACCCACTATTTCAGGTTTAGTTTAGGAATATTAAAACCGCCCAAAGCAAAACACGAAACCCCTCTCATTTCTCAGTTCTCAACCCTAACTATTCATCTCTATTTCATCCAGATCCAAAATTCTGCAATGAGGTTTAGAACGTCATGAATTTCAAACTCGGATCTTGGTTCTCCTTGCACTGCTCATATGCTTGCTGAATTTCTCTATTCGCCTTCAATGGTTTTCCATTTTATCCCTTTCTTTGCCGATAATATTGAGGTACCTTGTTTCTTTTTTCGCTTCAATTCTTGTTTTGTCGAATTTGAGTCCTTTAGATTGTTTTTAGAAGTAATTTCACGAAATTAGTGTCAGATATGAGTTTGATTCATGAGCGATAGATATTTTAGGGTTTCTTTTTGTTTTACTATTTGAATAAAATTCTGAATAAATAGCCTTTTTTGTTCTTTGTATGAATGAAGGACGATTTCAAGCTCTTTAATTAATCTTGTACAGTTTTAATTTATTAATTGGGATTCTGTTTTGCAGTTTTTAAGTATGAGTATAGAAATTGCATAAATTGGTTTTGGATTTTTTGGGGTTCGATTTAATTGAGTACTAGGGGTACTATAGTGGCGCTTATATGTGCTTAGATAATCAATAAAACAAGAAAATTGCTTGCATTTCAGCATTCAATGAATGTAATTCATGGAGAGAGAGAGAGTGAGAAAGGTTACTGGTAAGTAGTGCCGTGGGTAGTGAGGACGGGGGGGGGGGGGGAATTTATTCCTGGCATAAAAGCGCTATAATTGTTCTTCTAGTGTACCTTGTTGAAGTCAGCGGCGGAGCCAGGATTTATAATTCGGGGGGACAAATTTTGGAGGTTAAAGTTTCGGCAAAAATCTCAAGAAAAAAATTGATCACCTAAATTGTTTAATATTTATTTGAAATCACATATGCCAATTATTTCTATATGGCAAAAGAGGAATAAAAATTTTTTATTGTATATTAAGAAAATTATCCAACAAAAATGAATAAATTTATGTTTGTAAATCCCGTTATGTAATCACATAATTGATATATACGAATTAATTACCTTATCATAAAGTCAAATAATTATCGTTAGAACAAATTGATGGTAGATATGAAGGGTCTGGGTTTGAGTTACATTCGAAAAAATAAACTCAACTTTCTCAAATCAATCATATTATTACATATGTATTTCGTATGTATTAATAAAAGTTAAAACACAGTTACAAACAATTAATTAATAGTAATCTATTTATTAGAAATGTAAAAAAATAGAGTTTAAGCACATAATAAAATTAAAAATCCTAAAACAAGAAATAGGAAATGAAAAATAAAATTAAAAAGACTATTGAAAATTAGAGTAATCAAAAAACAAGTAGGGGAAAAAAAACAAAAAAGCTGAAAAATAGTAGAGTAGGGAATCGAACCTAAGACCAAGGCACAGCCTTACTAAGGACTCAACCACCAAACCATATTCAATATTGTGATATTTACTGTAAGTATATGATATTTATAGCCTTTTACTGTATTTTCTTGATTTTTTTTTTTTTAAAAAAAAAAACTTTTTTTTCGAAAATGGGGGGACAACTGTCCCCCCTTGTTCTAATGTGGCTCCGCCAATGGTTGAAGTAGATTAATTTGCTATTAATTAAATTGTCTTAATATTGATGTCTCATCAAAAAGATTGTTTTTTTCATTGAATATAGGAATTCTTTTGTTATTGAGGTTTTCGTAAAAAGTGAAAAACGATACCTAAATTGAAGATTATGGATTAGGTTTTATATTTAATCAGATTATGGCATATTTTGCTGACATTTTGTTGAATGCGGGAACTTTTTCATTCCAACTTTGATAGAGATGCTATAAAGGGCTCTTGAATCTTCTAAAGGTATTTCATTGGCAAATGGGCTAAGAGTTTTTTTTTGGGAACTTTATACATTCAACTATTTCTCTGAATTAATTAAAGGAAAAATTGCCCAGAATAATCCGACCTTTGCCTCGTCCGCCCAAAATAATTCCACCTTTCGATTATTTTTCAATAATCCGACCTTTATACCCAATCTGCTCTTAATGGACCCAAGTGACCGGTTAACTGATAAATAAGTAATTTTATTGAATTTTTGATTTAAAATTTATGTGTCACTATATAATTTGTCTAAACTTTTAAATTAAAAAAAATTATAAAAAAAATTGCAGCCACCCAGTCACTCCCTCCCTCAATCCCAGCCACCGTGAGATTGAAGGAGAAACTGTGACATTGGAGTAGCAACCGTGACATCGAAGCTCGGTTACCGTCGTCGCTATTGTGGGTAGTCTGGGCGACTGAAATTGGGGCAGGGGAAGGTGAGGGAGGCCGAAATAGTTGCCATGGGTTCTTCAAATTGAGCCAAAATTGGCTGAAATTAGGGCTGCTAGAGGTTCATTCATGGCGGCAGATTGCTGCAGTTTGAATTGCAGTGGATGAGCGGTTTTTGGTGCAGTTGTGATTGGTGGTTGCTGCTGCAATTGCGGGCTTGTGAATTGGAGATGGCTAGTGGTTGTATACACGGTATGAGTGAGGTGGTCTGGTGGTGTAATGTGGAAAGTTGTGGATTGTGGTATCGGGGTGTGTGGCTGGTGCGAGGTGAGGCTATGGGTGAGAGATGGTTAGGGCTACTTGCGGTGGCCGGAATTGGCGGCGTTGTGGCTGGTCGCTGCTGTGTTGAATGAGGAACAGGGGAAGCAAGGGTGTGGCGTGTTTGGTTGGCAAAAGGGGTTGGTGATTCAAGGGAGAATGGTCAGGCGAGCGCGGCTCCGGTGTCGGCTTCGGCGTTAGGTTAGGGGTCTGGGTGACCGGAGCGACGAGGCAGCTCAAGGAAGCTAGGCAGGGAAAGGGAATTTAATTTTTTTTTAAAAAAAAAATCTTTAAGAAACTTTAACTTTTCTAATATTTATTTTTATTTTTATTTTTTTTTGAAAAATCACGAACCGACACGTGTCAATTAACTTGTTATAGCAAGTTGCATGACCGGTTAGGACCATTTTGAGCAGATTGATATCAAAGGTCGGATTATTTAAAAATAATCGAAAGGTGGGATTATTTTGGGCGGATGAGGTAAAGGTCGGATTATTCTGGGCAATTTTTCCTTAATTAAATTAGTGTAATGGTTTTGCTTTTGCTACATAGCTTATTGAACTTAATAGGTAATTAGGGAGTAGTAATAAGTGGATGTCTACTAATCCATTGTATGTACTTGACTTGCTTAAGTAAGAAAATTCGACAAATATTATACCTAGAATTGATTTTCCATGTAAGAAGGGTTAGTGCACCGTGCCCCTATGGCTGCTCCAAAGCCAGTGATATATCTATTATATTTTAACTACCGTTTTCTATTGAGTTGTGCAATTTCTGTCTTCTTTTTAAGGTTTTATAAAATGTGTTAACTCTTGTTGCAAGCTTGTCATCTTTAGACTTCAAAACGGAAGAGGTATTTGTTTTATCCTTATATATTCGTTCATTTTAGAAGAATGAACAACGATACTTTGGGTTTAATCACACCACTTGTTATTTTATTTCCATTACATAGCTGGGTGCAATTTTTAGTGTCAGGATGGTGGTGGTACGGATAAAGCACCTACATCAAAACACAAGCCCATGATAAAACAGGTATAAAAACTTGGACCTGACTATGTCAACAGGATTCTAATATAAGTTTCTTATCCCTTTTCAGTTCATTTATCCATTTGAAATAGACTGACATAAATAGATTGGTTAGTAAGCATACTAAGTACTAGGTAATTGAATCTATTATCATATATGGTGACTTTATTGCAAATTTTGTTTGATGGACAGAGCATTTGGTCTGTAGTTGACAGTGAAAAGCAAATTAATCTTGGAAAGATTCTACCTATTAGTTTATGGAGTATATTAGGCACTTCAACTTAATCTTTTTGACAGCGACTTCAACCTAATCAAAATGAAATAAGACAATATTTAACATGTTTAGAGGATCCATGGACTTTGTGATTTTGATTCTATGTAATATTTGGATAGGAGGTGCTACTAACTCTTGTTGGGGAAGTTAATCAAGTGGCCCCTGTGATGAAGAAGAAATTTAGTCTTAAATAGAGAGTTAGAAGACCCCGGGATTGAACAGACGAGCTTGCTGAGTCTGAAATAATACTGATTATCCTCTCTAAAGAAATTCGTCATCAATGAGGTCTGCTGCTCTCTTTTACACATGTTTGTTTTCTCACATGTCTTTGTTTCCCTGTTATTCTGCCTGAAAATCTGAAATCGAGGCCCTTATGGTGCTTCAGTGTAAGATATTTTAAGAAATTTATTGAATCAGATTTGATACATTTATACTTAAGTCGTTGCTTAGCAGACTAATCTGATTTCAATATGTGTTTGATCTTTCATATAATCAAGTTCACTCTTGAGTTCTTGTATGCTTAAAGCTTATTTACAATTGGTGAATGAAATGGCTATTTTAAGTTGTTAATAATCTGATAGGATTATTGTGCTTCAAACGCATCTGAATGCACACAAATTATATCTGATGTGTTAGTATATTCTGGTATTAATTCAATTCATGTTTTAATCAAATTGGTAGAATTTTGGTTCTATCTGATGGGTTTTTGTATCTAGTTGATCTGTAATTGTTACATCCTGTGAAAAAGTTAGGGATTCTAAAGGGTGTTAATGTTGTTGCTAGAAGGGTTTGTAATACTGAATCTGAAAATTCTAATTGGATCAATGAACAGGGAGTTAGTAGTAGTGGTAGTAGTGTAGGTGGGAGGCTTATGAAAAAGTTAGGTGGCGGGGTTAGATCGAATGGGGCGAGGGTTAAGGAATTCAGTTCTAGGGGAGTGGATAATGATGGTACCTACCTTTTTGTGGTGGCAATGGGGAAGAAAGTGGTGTTCATTGAGCTGAATTCAGGCAGTAGTAAGCATGATCGAGAGGTCGATGGGAAACGTGGGTTGTTCGTGGTTTTGAAGGAAATGTCGTGTATTGATGGTGTGAAGAGTATGGCTTGGCTTGATGATTCATTGATTTTAGGGACTGATAATGCTTATAGTTTGATGTCCTGTATTACAGGGCATGTTGATTTGATATTTTCACAGGCTGTAACGATTGCAGATCCATGCAGATCAATTGCTGAGTTGGTGGTACCCTGGTATTTGGTAATTCTGGTATTTGATTGCAGATCAACTAGATACAAAAACCCATCTGGTAATTCTGGTATTTACAATTCATGTTGTTTTGCCTGACACGGCTGCTATTCCATTCCTTATCTCAAATTGTTGTCAAAAGATAAGAAGGTGCTTCTACTAGTTGATAATGCGGGCATTGTAGTGGATAATCATGGACAGCCCGTTGGTGGTACCCTGGTATTTGGTTGTGCTCCTCGTTCGATTGCTGAGTTATCTTCGTATGTGGTGATTGCTAGTAATGGAAAGATGGAATTATAAGCTTGTGTGTGTGTGTGTGTGTAACTGTGTAAGTGTGTGTGTATAAGCCTATATTGTGTAATGTACTAATTTATACTTTGTATTTTTTTTTTTTTGAAGATTGGAATAAGCAATGTAGCTGCAACAAGAGAATAGACCGGGACACTTGAGCATCAAAACAAGCGACTACATCATCTATAACGCCATCATCTATCTATTTTGGTTATTAGTCTTAATTATATTAGTGATGTATTTATTTAGGGACAAGCTACTATAATATGCGACGTTTTTTTTAATTAATTGTGTTGATGTTTTCGTTTATAAATTTGGTAATTTAATCAATAACGTACTCTTATTATTGTTGATTAATTATTGATTTTTTTTATCTGATCTAGTTATAAGAATATTTGTTTACTTTAATTTAAATGTTATTAATTTAATTTATGATAAATTTAAATAACTATAATGTATGTATGATGGTAATAATTTAATAAAAGGAAAAAAATATAATTAAAAAAAGCTTAAAAAAAATTTCTAGACGCCTTTTAATGTCTAAATATTTTGCATATTTTCGCATTTCAAAAGTTTTCCGCCATACCATAGGCTGACACGAATAAACGCAAGACAACAAAAAGCGTCGCTAAATTTGAGTATGTGGATATGTAAAAGCGTCACTAAAAAACTACACAAGTTGGGAAAATGCGCGAAATTAGTATTTTCCGACACTTCGATATTAGTTTAGACACAAAAAAGCGTCGAAATTCTCAACGCTTTTTTTGTGTCCCTAAAAATTCTCGACTCACGGATTCTTGACGCTTTTAAGTAGCGTCGAGAAATTTTTTTCGACGTTTTTTAGCGTCGAAAAAAGACCTAAAAAGCGTCCAAAAAACACGCCTTTTGTAGTAGTGTCTGTAATAACTCAAGTTTATTTCCTTTTCGTGAAAAATAATGATGACAAAACCTCTAGTTTATTTATGAAGTATTAGGTGTTTCCTTTGTGATTACTACTTCTGTTTCATATTATTATAGAATTAGGTGTTTCCTTTGTGATTACTACCCTTATAATCACTCCTTTGTGATTACTACCCTTATATTACTACTGTTTATATTGCTACTTCTCTACTTTATGTCAAATCATTACAAATAATATGAAACGGAGATAGTATTCATGATGCATTAGGTGTTTCCTTTGCAATTACTACCCTTAAATTTGGCATTACATTATTTCTGATGCATTAGGCGGGAAGGACGTACCTCTGGTGTACCAGTTATTGTGCCCACGGTAAACTCTGGGTAGCCAAGTGCGGAGCTGATAACCGTCACGATCTGGGAGTTTGGGCTCGAAACATGCGACACACTCTAACCTTTTGGTGTCAAGAACGACACGCTAGCCTTGAGCGGAAGAGGGACTTGTGAGCACAATGCAACACAAGTGGGCAATTAATATCAAGAGCACTCACATCTATTTGGGCGACGGAGTGCAGGTGGTCGGGGCGTGTAGCGACCAATATTTCAAGGCGGGCACAAGCAGGTCCGAACCACGAGTTCTTAATGTCTCAAGTTGGGTTGGAGGGGGTTTTAAAAAAAAAAAAAATTGGGTTGGAGGAGAACTATTATACAAGTAAGATATAATATCTACTCCCTCCGTTTTTAATTACTTGCTCCACTTTTCTTTTTCGACCGTTTTTAAATACTTGCTCCATTTCTTTATTTGAAAAATTTATACAATATTTAATTCATTTTTCTCACCTAGTGGACTCAACAAATATCATATTTTATTAATTTCATATTCTCTCTCCTCTAATTTCTCCACTACTTTTGCTTTTTACCACTTTTTATTTTTCCACCAACCCCACTACCTACATATTTTATTACTTTCTCCAATTATCCTAAAACTCTGCGCCTTTAGAAATGGAGCAAGTATTTAAAAACGGAGGAAGTACAACCAAACATAAAACCACCACAACACTTTGTTTCCTTCGTAATTACTGCCCTTAAACAAGGGCGATTCAGGAATGTAAAAAAATTCATCCGACGGGCCACGACTTTACTCTCTTTAAAGTCTCCTTGTATACTTGTATTTATAGCTGAACCAGCCCAACACACTGCGGTTGACGGCTACCTTTCAAGATCTCAACTTTGCGCTTCATTCTTCATCGTTTTTCACAATTTCCAGGTGATTTCCGAATTTCTGAATACATTCATCATTCTGCACAATAATTTTCAGTCATCTATATTGCTCTTTTTTTTTTTTAATTGTTAATTGATTCGAATTTTGCATGTTCAGGGTTTTGTTTTGTCCAATTTTTATCTAGGAATTATCGAGATTTTTCTTCTGTATAATATTTTGGTTAAATTAAATTATTTCGGAATTACATGCTTTAGATTTCGTTGTATTTTTTCTAAATTTCCGATCTTTTATGCATAATCTTGGTTTTTCTATGAGAAAAAACGGCTAAGGGTTTATGTATTTACTTGTAATTGAATTTAGGATTTATTAACCTATTACGAATAGGATCTACAGTTTGATTGATATTCTTTAATTTGTATTATATGTATTTCTGAGAAATTATATGAATTTTAATTGTAAAATCACTTAGAATTTTGTGTTTGTTTAAATTGTGAAAGTCATTGTAGACTTTATCTGATTTTGGAGCTTTTCTACTTGTATTCAAACTGTGTGAAATACCGGCTCATGTTTTACCGGCTTATGTTTACGGCGTATGCTATTGCTAGCAATGTCAGCATGTGAATCTCTCCCTATCAATGCCGGAGGTTTAAGGAGGTGTTTTCTGTGATTGTTGCATCGTTTGACTTGAAGTTTTCGTTGTCGTTTTTTATATATTGTAGGTGTCTATTTAATGGCTGAATCAAAGCAAGAAATGAGGAAACCGGTTTTCACCAAAGTTAATGAGCTACGACCTGGTACTTTTGGCCACAACCTCACTGTCAAGGTTGTTGATTCGAAATTGGTTATGCAGAGGGGCAGGTCTGATGGACCTCAAGTACGCCAAATGAAAATTGCTGAATGTTTGGTCGGAGATGAGACTGGAATGATAATTTTTACCGCTAGAAACGATCAAGGTAAGCCTTTTTGTAGGTGTGAATTGTGTTCAGATCCTGTTGGTTAATATGTCAAGTTTAGTCCATGGTATCATTTTATTTTTGTTGGCATAAGATTTTGTTATTTAGTTGATGTTTGATCGATGCATGGTGCATTATTATCTTCTCTCCATGGGTGTATTGTCTGGAGTGTTTCCTGAATCCCTGCTCCAATTTTAATTCAATTTCGTTTTCTGATGTTTATCGATCTTGCTAGCATGTTACTCCATAGGGTGTTTTTCTAAACCATTACATTTAGTTTAAGAGCGTCTGATTTCATCAATGATCTTATTTTTAAACATGTCATCTGAGGTCAATAAGGTTAGCTTTGGCTACTTGATTGATAACTACATGTTATCTTATTTGTTCAACGGAGTTTATCTGCATCATTATTAGCCTAATAATCTATCTGCAGTACTGGACATTACAACGACATTAATGGGCACAAGATGCATTTTAAGGGATCCCTGCTTCATTTTTTTCCCCTTGCATGTTTGACTCTTCTTGCACACCTGTAAATTACTTGCCCAGTCAAATGACTTTTCCACCCTATACTTCTGGATATAAACATATAAACTGAAGTATGGTTGTTGGTAGTATGGTACCTGTTCTGCTGTAAAACCCTGCCTCATCCTTCTCTTCACTTGGTCAAACGAGATTATGAATAGAAAATTTTTCCCCTCTTGTATTATGGTTTCTTCTGGGGATAGTTTCTCCATCTCCACCAGGAATCGTTCCTCCATCGTCATTCTGTTGAAAGTAGGGTTTTGATCCTTGGTGGTACTTGTTTTGTCGCATAAACCTGCCCTGTATCCCTGCTCTTGAGTCTTGACTTGATTAACAAGATTAAATTGGGAAACTCATTCGCATTCAAGATATTTTATGTATTTATATATATATATATATATATATATATATATATATATATATATATATATATATATATATATATATATATATATATTGGATATAGACAGTCTACAATTTTAAATGTCCTGTCCCAGCATTTCAATCTTGGGATATTCCTGATTTTTTATGAAAATGAAGTTATGGACTTCATGGCCTTTCTACATTGAAAGACATTTGGGAATTTTTTTGTGATTTATTATGGTTATTTGAGACTGATGCACCATTTGCTCCCCTCTCTGAACAAAGAGTTGTATTAGGGAATTTGATTACATATAATATAACATGTTAGTTTGTGGCTCTTGATCGCATGTTCCCACCTCCTTTATCTTAAGGGGATCTTTAGGGAGTTGAGTCCTTGAATATGGAGGTGGGCTGTAGTCCGGAGAATACTCTCCACCAGCTTTTACTCCTTGGTCTAGGTGGTCGTAATTAACAATATTACCAGCGTAATTAATGTTCTCCTTTAGGCCATGCTAGGATGAGGATCAATCTGGGGGTAATATATAACTGGAAACTACTATGGAAAGTTCTCCCATGAGGTAGTAGGCTCTCATAGAGTGGTATTTTACTCTAAAATGGTGGTAATAGGTTCCTTTTCATAGTCCTAATAAGTAATAACCATATCCTCTTCCACCCACTCTGCTATATAGTTCCTAATTCATTCCTCTCATTTAGACTTTTTGGTGTATGGTTGTCCATGGCATTGCTTGGGAAATACAGGTGGTATGGAAAATAAAATATCTGAGTTTTTTTTTTTTTGCGTGCGTGTGTGTATACCATGCAATAATTTGAGACCCCCCCCCCTCCCCTCCCTCCCTCCCTTTTAATACTCCTTAGTTCAGTCCTTTCAATCCAGTACATGTACAGCTTTGAGCCTTTGATCTCTTATCATTTTGAAAATAAGAAAATGGGTTTGGTGTGGAACATGCAAACGTCTATTTTTCTTGTTATAACATAAAAGTGCGCGTAGGTGATGAGGTGCTAGGCGCTTATGGTAAAGCTACTTTTTGGCTCTAGGCAAGGCACACCTGTGGCACACTTTCAATTTTTTTTTTTATATATTTATACAAGCAGCGCCTAGGCACAGCAGGACTTCTATTGCTTTAGTGCTCCTTGAGCTTTTTATACATTGGTTTGACTCGCATTAATGTTCTTTATCACTATAGCAAACTTTCCCGCTAAAGATATTTTCTTGGGTAAAGCATTTGCAAGTTACTTCTGAAAGCTAGTGAACTGAAACAGACTGAGTGGACATTTGAATACTTCATTATATTTTCCAGTAAAACTATTACTTTGTACGGGTAGAAGAGCCAAATTTTGCTATGTTGATTCTTGTCTACTGAACTGGAATATTTGTTATAGTATTTAAAAAACATACAGTTGCACTATTGTACTTTATCTCGATACTAAGCTGCCTTTCTATTATCTCACATATCATACTCATACATGATCCTCATTGCTAGATCAGAGTTGTTATCTCACTAATCTCAGTTTACATGAATTGTGGAATGAGAAGTTGAGACTGAAATTCTCTGTTGTTTTGGGATTGTCGTGGGAAGCTTTTATTCTGTTGGTTAAAGCCGCTCCTTTTCTCTTTCTCTTATCACGTTCTTTATGTTTTTTTATTATATTTTTTTTAACAATCAATGATGAGACGTAATGTTCTCTTCTTAGTGGAAAAGATGAAAGCGGGAACTACAGTAACCCTGCGCAACGCAAAGATTGACATGTTCAAGGGATCCATGAGGCTTGCAGTCGATAGATGGGGGATCGTCGAAGAGGCAGAGGAGCCTGCTGATTTCACTGTCAAGGAAGATAACAACTTATCACTGATTGAGTACGAACTTGTGACCGTTTCTGGGTGAATGTAACTGACGCTTACTTTTGTTCCAGCCCTCCAAAAAGTTGGAACCTGAAGAAAATAAAAATAGGAATCAAACAAAAATAGAAAAAGGGTGAAATTTCATGTAGTTTTGTCTCCTGGGCATAATTCCAATTGCTCGTGAAACCTTGCCTTCTTGGAGGAGGAATTTGAGGCTTCTAATCTCTACCAAAGTTGAGATAGGCTAAACCACTTCGCAGCACGTGAAGGCAGCTTGTTGGATTTTGGACCCCTCTTATATTGGTATATTGGTTGTTTTTCTATAATATCTGTTTCAGTTAATAGTCTGGAGACAATGATATTACTTGCCTCTTAGGACATATACTTCGTAATATCCATGAGATTTCATATGAACCATTGCTCTAGTTTTCTTTCGCCGTCTTTTATCTTGTTTTACTAATACAAGCTTGATTTGGTGTTGCGTATGGGATTAATAGACATTTGAAATTTTTCAAGGTATGAGTCATGGACATATTACAAATGCATTGTGTGACATATATGATTATACCAACATTTTATCTATTTTTGTTTGGTATGTACCATATCGATTTGGTATCGGAATTTTTCTTCCCTAGTCCCTACAACGAGCATTTCCATTTCATTGCTATGGCGAGATAGACACCATGCTGGGTAAGATTAGTTCTAGGATTATAGTGCTAATAGCAATTTACTTTCAGCAATCAGTATTCAGTACTGCTCTTCATCACCTTTAAAGTAGCTCCTTATTTGCTCCAAATTTAACTGATTAGTCTATGAAAGTGAATTATATTTGCAAAACTTTAGGATTCGGTCAAATATTACTTCATAGTGAAATAGTCTCTCTATCTTTTGATTTTTAGTCCATCCAATTTTTCCTCTACTTCAATTAGTCTCTTCATCTTTTGATCTTTCGTCCATCCGATTTTTCCTCTACTACTGTTTTAACTTTCTAAAAATTTATGTCGATTAGACCGTTACAAGTGGAGCAATTAAATTGAGATAAATTGTGAAAGAGAATTTTTTTTTTTTTTGGTGTTTAGAGAGCCACAAGGGCGGGGTGAGAATCAATCCCGGGACCTCCTAGAATCGGGAGGGAAGCTCTAACCACTTGATCTATCCCTTATTCTCTCATTGTGAAAGACTATAATACGGCGGTGTTAGAGATAATAGTGATGTATGAAAACTACTTGACTTTGGACTATATAATTATAATATATTGCTAATTTAGGAAACATAAGGTGTGAATACTTTTTTTTTTTTTTTTTGAAACAGAGTAAATACTAATTAAAATTTGTGTAACAACACTTATTTTCAGCTCAGCTCAGCAAATCAGAACTTGCCCTTAGGCTAAACAGGTTCATATATATCGTGAAGCTTTAAATATAAAATATGTTAATGTCACTTTCTTGTAAAATTCATTGCCAAGCTAGTAAGCTATAACTTAGTCCATTAATTACTGCAATTAATACCTGCATGATGTTAACTAATTAATAATCAACATATAATGAACACTAATCATAAAAATGTTAACGGTATTGGCAGTTGTCTAATCAAACACATCTCTATCTTTGTATCTCAATCAAAATAATTACCTCACTTTTTTGATTTTCTATTGAAGGGGAATAAACCCACATGCATTCATCAAATTAAATGTTTATTTGGAAGATATTGCTTTTACGTTTAAGAAACATTACATCACACATTCTTTGAAAATAATATCTTCAATAATACAAGAGACTAATGTCAATATAAAGATGGCTTATGTTATAGAGACATTTCATATTGTTTTATTCATATGTGGTATATTGAGCTGCCTAATTGCATGCCTAATTGTCTTGCATGTGTTATTTGTAACATAGCCATTCAAATGGCTATTATGATTGACCGTGGTGTTAATTTGAAACAACCCTATTCTATAATGTAGCGAAATATTCGTGTTAGTAACTTTCCAACACTTCTCTTCACATGTGAGTCACTGATTGTATAGCTTTCTTTTTCAAATCCTTTTTATGTTGTATTCTTCAAATCAATGTACGAGCCATTTCTTCTTGGTAATGTTCGTGTTAAAGTTGATATTAAATCAATTAATAATTTTGTGTAATTGTAGCATATTAACAATGCTATTGCTAAAAAAAAAAAGAAAAAGAAAAAAGAAGTGTGGGGTTTAGTATTGTTGTGTGTGCTATCCACATCATTCTGCAAATCCAACCCCAATCCTCCTTGAAGTCCCTAATATTATACAATACACAAATTTTTATTAACAATGCTTTATTTATATAAATGAGATTTGATTATTCAAGCTTTAACCAAGTTTTATTAATTGAGCTCCACTAGTCATTTAAGATAGACAATCATATTGTTATATTGAATTGTAATTTTGGTCACCACAATTATATCTGGCCACCTTATTGTTTTCATAAAATGCAAGACAAAAGTCCATCGAAATTACATTTTCAATAGCATCCAGTCCTCTTTCAACCTAAACTCTAGTCAAGTAATCAATCAAGTGTAAATGAGTCATAATATGTGTTGCTATGTTCGTTGACTTCTCTAGCTATAAACACGTTTATTAAGCTCGGCAAAATTAAAAGACACTTGTCCATTCAGTATATGATTATATGTAATATCTCCGGATCATATTATATGCAATTTTAGGGTGTTATTTATGAGATATAAAAATTTTCAAAGTTGCATAATATAATACGATCTGGAGGTAGTAAATTTTTTAACTTCCGGCCCCAATTTTAAATTCCACTCTTGTTAATGTTTGATTCTCCAACATACATCATTCTTACACTTTAATGATGAAGTTAGTGATCAATCCCTTGATCATTTTTTTATGATAGATATGTGCAATAATCAACATAGTAGTGGATTTATTATTTATAGGATTTTTATTTACATAATAATCAGCAAACCCTACCATGCATGTTAATCTATTATGCTTGTATCTCCTAAATATCATAAAAGATGCACACTAAGCTAGATGCGGCATGGTTAATATGTTAACACATAATTAATTAAGTAATTATTATGACAATGCAAAGAATTGTCTACCATTGTTCAAACTCAACATATTGAACTCTTATGGACACTACAATTTAGGTTCATACGTAGTATTATATTTAAAAGGTAACTTAAATTAAGGTTTGTTCTGATTGACTGAACTGAACTTATTGAAGATGGACTGAACTAAACTGGATATTTTATAAGAGGAGGAAATTAAAATAAGAATTGAACTGAATATATTTTTTTTTTTTTGAAAGATTGAACTGAATATTTTATTAGAGAAGAAAATTAAAATAAGAACTGAATTGAACTTATTGGAGCTGAAATGAAAATAAGCTGAAGCGAACAGACCCTTAGGTGACAATTAGCAAATGAGAAGATTTTGGGAATTGGAAGGGAAGAAAAAAGAAAAAAGAAGAATATAATATACTCGTAACTTAGTTCTCCAACCACAATTATTAATTTATTATTAGTGCTTTGTATAGCCTATTAAACCCTAAAGTATTTCCATCAACTTTTTCATTTAATCATCATAGACTTATTAAAATGAAGCTTCTTAATTAAAGTTATTAAACGTGCAAATGTTGTTCAAAGACTTTGTGATACACAAGTACCAATTAGGATAGCTATTAGTATATATGTACAATATATTTCAAGTTAGCAATAAGACATGAGTTAAAGATAGTTTTGAACAAACCAATGCCTTATTTCTTTAAAAGTTTACATAATAAAAAAAATTATGTTATTTAAACAGACTCGGCTACAAAAGTAAATGACTTGAGGCTGGAAACACACTTCGATATAGTAGTTTGCACTACTGATTCGGTGATCTCATCTCACTCCAATCTCGGCTTCGATATTATGGCTCCCTTCCACCAAGGGAGGATAAAGGAACACCCATCTAGTGGAGGCCAGGCAAAGTTGATTTCCTAATATACATAATCGATTGAAAGATCAACTCTCTTTAAACTTTAATGATAATGCACAAAGGTCTCAATCGATCTGCCGTTGAAGACATTATTAAAAAAAAATCTTGAATTCTATAATAGGATCAACACAATATGGTGCATGTCCATCATATAAAACGTTGAACTTGGAGCATAAAATTCATGCATGTTTGGTGCTTCTAAACCAATGAGTAGTGATCTTTCATCTTTTGACAAAACTTTAATCTGGCTAAAAAGCTACCTAAAAAAATATATTTTATATTATATTATATTACACCTATTTGGATATTATTGGAGATTGTTATGCATTCTGAGATCATCGTAGCTGCTACAATTACGTCATCCTACTACTCAATAACGGTAAAAAGTTTTAATTATCCTTAATTTGTTTTCAATACGTACTCTAATTTAATGTCTCATTATACAATGATTGTGTTTTCAAAAAATAAACAATAAAAAAAATTATACAATGTTTTTACATGTACTACGTAAATGTTACAACATCATGTGTTTGATTTGATATGGCTAGTGGACTTTTAATCATTGAATTTGAAGGAAACGCAGGATCACATATATGTGTATGTTATAATTAAATGATCAAGTTAAATCGGAGATAATATTCAATTATTCCATTTAATCCCCCCATTTTATTTATTTTTTGAACGAAGCCTACTTGTTCATGATTTTTGTAACTCACTTAAATTCAAATAAAATAAGTTCAAATATATTATTTTTTTACCGTTAATTTTTAAATTACCACCCAAAATTGTAACTATTTTCGAACTAATCACCCGTCTAATTTTTTATTTTAAATAACCACCCCTTAAATTAAATAAATGCTCAGATTACCACCCATCTCAAAAATCTGGTGGATTTTCCGTCTGCAGGCCCTACCTAATACTTATTTTTACTCTTTTGACTGATTTTTTTCTCCAATTTTTCTCTTTAAAAACACTTTCTATACTTTAATTCACATTTCCTTCACCAAATTATACCAAATTTCAAATAGAAAAATGTAAATTGAAGTAAGAATAGCGTTTTTAAAGAGAAAAATCGGGGAAAATCAGTCAAATTGAGAGGTAGGTGGGGCCCACAGACGGAAAATCCACCGGATTTATGAAATGGGTGGTAATCTGAGCATTCATTTAATTTAAGGGGTGGTAATTTAAAATAAAAAATTAAACGGGTGGTTAGTTCGAAAATGGTTACATTTTAAGGTCACAATGAGGGTTTTTTCTTTTTTTTTTTCCTTAGGAGGGTTTTCCCAGCCTCAATTGCTGGGTTTTTTTAATTTCTTTGAAGGATTTCTTCTGTTTTCTCCCTTTTCTCTCCATCTCTTTTCCTCTTGATCTCAGTTGTGAATCTTTGCAGGGGCTTCTACTGGTATTTTTACCGGCATTAAGCCCCAAAAACCTTTCAATTGCTTTCAATAAATAGATCGATCTCATCCTTGTGATGATGATTTTTCTCTTGAGTTTATTTTCTTTTTGTGTTTGTTCGGTGAAATTGAAGATCTAGGATTTCATAATCTCTACAACATTCCGGAGG